ATGATCACAATAAAAATAAATCCAGTTTAAAGGTCGTTTCACTTACATTTTAGCTCATTTTACAGCTTGAAAAGTTCTCTCACTTCAGTGTCACATCTCTTGTTCTCTCACCTGGAGACCGAGGCCCGGCCCGGGAGCGAAGTTCTTCACGCCGAGTGTAACCGAGAGGTTTCTGGGCGGGGTCCAGCTGAGGCCGTCATCCCGGCTCTCCACCATCATGATGCTGGCCGGGCTACAATGGTAGTGGTGGAAGCACACTGAGTAGATCAGAATCACTGAGCCCACTTCCTCGTCCACCACAACAGAGCCCAGGTTTATGCCATCCGGCGCCGCCCCGTCATCGATAATAAAGGTGGTTGGGGACCAGGTGGATCCTAGAGAGATGATAGAGGAAGAGGAGGAGATGAAGCAGAGAAAACATGACCTGTTTTTTGTGCTTTCGTGATTTTTACTTTTATTTCAAGGCTCAGTCAGCAGAATTTATATCATCAGTCTGTTCTGAACACTGCGTAGAACTCGTTGATCCAGTTTCAAGGTATGAAATGTTGAAAAAAAAAATTGGTAAATATAAATAAAACCAAACATCTACTCAAAATATCAATTATGGTTGATGCTAACGATGACATACACTCCCAGACATTCATTCAGAAGCGATAAACTCTCCTCATTTGCGTCTATGTGACTGCTGACTGTTTTCTGACACACTGTGTAAGTTTTGTGTGACTGTCTATCTCTTGCAGTGGTCTTGCCTTTGTCGGTGGAGCGCCGCAAAGCAAAGAATTTCGCTCCAATGTCAGAAGAAGAAGACTTCCTGGCTTCTGCAAATGCCAGCAGGCTTCCTTTGGGGGTGAAGGTGAGCAGCGGGATCCTGTAAGTGTTTACCTGACCCTGGGCTCCGCTCACCCACAGCAGCTGCTCCTCAAACACCAGGGGGTCAATCTGAACAGCGGGGAGAAGGGCAGGTAAAACAGAGGGAAGAGATATTTGTGAATTATCTGTAGGCAGGAGCATCTTCAGCATCTTGCTTTTCCCATAAGGAAGCGATTTTGTGTCCTTCAGCCACTAGAAACCATTATCAAGGGTCTAAAGTGGCATCCTGGAACCTAAAATAAATGAATAATTCAACCTGATAGGAAATCTGGTACAGAATAGTCTAAATCAGTTCATTTTTCATGTGGTGCAGCCTGACAGTCCTTTCAGCTATGACTATGAAGGCAATTAAAGTCATCACATGGCCCTGTCGTGCACCAACTCCACTGAAGCGAGGAGCTTCCTCCTTCTGTTTTTTAATATGTCAAGTAAGTTAAATTCAACATTTCAAACATCTCAACTCCTATCACCAAAAACACAAACTGTTTCTGTGCAGTTCGAATATTAATACATCTGTTAGCTAAGGGTAGAGCTGCAGTATTTTCCAGGAGCACAAAAGTGAATATGATTTCACACTGATAGACAGGTCAGGAGAAGATGAGAGATTATTTTGAAGGGTAAAGACTCTAACAGATAAACTGGAAATTTAAAGATTACATAACACGTCCTAGTGCATGCCAGATTTTAAAATCAGGCAGTGGATCTATATAGGATGTGCAGCTGAAGTTATCCGATTATTTAATATCTGAATATCTGAAGACAGACTCTGATAGTTCTAACATGTTAATAAAAGTGTATACTGTGTTGTATGGTTTACAGCTGCATGTTGCACTAATGCAGGTCAGCAAAGCCATAAGACAGATAGACTGCAGACATTTACGTGGGAATTATGGTTTTAAGTTTTTTCATAGGATTCGACATAAAGTTCTGACCATGCAATAATATACTCAGCTGAAATTTGAGCTAATTTTGATAATGCATTAAAATAAATGTCCATATACATATGACTAAGTGACACATGTTTCTTCTAGAAGGGTTTTGGTAGGAACAATCAATACAAATGTAAGCCTTTCTTTAGTAACACTTACCAAATTCCACCTTTACCTTAGCTTTAAGGTTTAAAAGCAGCAATGATGGTTCATGTAACATCAGTACTGTAGAAACTTGTTCTTTCAGGGGTCACAACAACTCAGCATTTCATATCTGCCTCCATCTCACCCTATCCTTAGCAACTCCCTCTGCCACACAAACCCTTTGCATGCCCTGTTTCACCTCATTTGGGAACCTGCCCTGTGGGCTCCCTTTTCGACGTCCTGGTTTGGCAGGTCTCTAAACCTGAGCTCTCCCTCTGATGTGCTCATTTCTAATCCTGGTCATTTTGAACAAAAATGTTAACATCTTCAGCTGCACCTCCTGTCTTTTTGTCAGCACATAAGTCTTCAAACCATACGTCATAGCAGGTCTAGTGACAGTTTTATTCTTCTCTCCAGAGCATGCCTGCACCTCTCCAGAGTCTCTTCCACATGCTTAGTACTCTCACTACAGATCATAATGTCACCTGTAATCATAGTCCACGGAGACTCCTGCAGACTCCCAATGCATGTGAAGGTTATCCTGTCTAACGCTATGCCCATCAGTCAAAGTTACAACTCACCAATAAGACAAAAAGGCTTTTAAATATGATGGAAACTACCATAGAGAAAATGAAGCAGCAGTATATTTTGAGAAACAGAGTTGCTGTCTTTTTTTTTGTTAGTGTGACTTTAAAGTGTCACACAAGAGGAAATGGTTCAAAGTGATACAGTACGTGTGTGTGTTATAACTGGCTAAAAATGGTCTGTTACCAGAGAGAGCAGCAGCCCAAATAACAGTGAAATAACAGAGAATACAGAAGTATATACAGACTATCTCATGAGGCCACAAGAACAAACTTCTTATGGTGTTTACTTAGCAAGAGAGTTGGGAAAGTTTCATTCAAATGTAATGTTTTAATCCCAGCATTGTTAACGTGTCCCACACAAACTATCTGTTTGTCACACATTTAGTTTGTTAGTTGCAGTTTGTATTCAGCAGCAGGCTGAATCCGCGAAGAGCAATATCCCTAAGAAATGCGGGCCAATAGGCCACAAAGAAACTAAACTACTGCACAAACACAGAAAACTTCAAGTTCCCCCAACTGCCCAATCCCACTTTAACCCCTGGTTATATCCACTGTTGGGTGGTTTGCCTTTAGATTACTCTCCACCCAGAAAACAACCGCGCTAAACTGGATAAGTGATGGATGATGATTTTACTACAGTCATTCGTTTCGTTTTATCTCTGAAGCAGGAAATATATAATATTATTTTTCTTTTATATATTCTTATTGTTATATGGTTGCGCGTTATATGACCTGAATGAAAGTAAAGTGCATGTTTGTAGTCCATCTTCTAAAGTTGTAGTTTCAGCACAGACATCCGCTGTCACATTATTGCTCAGAAATTCATGCCGAGCACTTAGCATGCTGTTATGAAGACATACTAAGCAGATAATTGCGGGCTACTGTACCTGCTGAGGGCTGACGTTACACACACTGCAAGACACCACAACAAAGAGCTGTAGCCAAAGAGCAGCGAGCCGGCTTCCTGCTGCCATGTTGGCTCTTTCTCGTAATTTCTTCTTCTTCTTCTTCACTCCGGCAGACACAAAGAAGCGAGTGAGGAAAGAAAGTGTCGAAATAAGTCCGCAAAAACAGAAACAAAAAGAGTAGTAGGGATAAAACTCTCTCCTCTACTTCACATACCGAAAGGCCTGCCCCTGTGAGTCATATGACCCAAGGTGGGAGTCACATGACTAACGTCACTCGTTGCCTACTTCGGATTTAATCGTATTTAACCTGACATGTTTTCTATAGCCCTTTACTAACTATTAGAAATGTATTATTATAATTATTATTTTTTATTTGGACTATTTTGCAAATGTTACTTTTCACTTTAATTGCTACATTTTATTGAGTCTACAAGAAAGCCTGTATGCAAGTGGTGTAAATATATGTATACAATTGCAAATACATAATATTACACGTGTTGTGACATTTTTAATTAATTATTAATGTAGCTGATGGATCAGCAGGACTTACATCTATACCGTCTTGGCTCAGTTTTTTCTCGGATATACATCCGGAAATACCGTCCGTGCGTAAATATGTGCATCTAATTCAAATTTACTTATGCACTAAATTATCATGTCTCTATTCACAGTACAGCAGAATGGATGCACTTAATACTTTTATCCAAAATGTGGCAGAATATCATGAAAATAGCACAGACATCAGCCAATCTAAAGTGTGCTGTACAGAGATAATCATGTAATCGTGCACATACACACCACAGAACCACAGACCAAAAAACTCAAATCAGCTGCAGAAAACAATCCTTTACATTTAACTAGTGAAGCTGCAAACCTCAGCTCAGTGGGCACTAATGACCCTCCTTCAAACTGTTCTTTAGATTTTATTCAAAGAGTGTAGCATAAAGATTTAGATACATATAAAACATAAAGTTTATATATTCTGCATAATACAATGTCATATGGATGCATTTCCCTGTGTGGTTGGCCAATAAACAGCATATTTTAAGGGTTATGACTTTCTATGACTTTTTTTCTGTGCTTGCAATGATCAGGATCGTTTATTTATTCTATAAATAGTAGCCATCCTTAACCCAACTGGACATTTACAATAGATAACTAAAACGACAACATATTCTCCTTACATACAAACACAGTTTTATTACGTCATTCACACACAAACACACACAGGTAAATGTAAACCACTCAGATTAAAAACTCACTTTGCAAAAATGATGCAGTAAAATGCAGAAAGTAAAAAGAAGATTTTATTTAAATTATATTTAGAAAAATCAAACTTCACATGCACAACTTCATGAAACAGTTTATTTGTTGAATTGCCATACAGCTGATTAGTAAAGATCCTCCCCCTGTTTTCACATCCCAACTAAATCCCTGAATAAACAATAAAAACAGAAGTATGTTCCAAAATAAAAGTAATAAACATTTTACAATTTAAAATTGTGAAAAAAGGAAATTCTTTTCTACATTACAGCCATATTTATATCAAACAGGCACTCAGAGAAAAACATAAAGTGACATTTTTCCATCATAGAAACAGAAACAAGAACAATTTCATTACAAGGGAGAAAATCAGCTACCGCACATTTAATGTACCCGACTTGTAGTTTAAAGTGCTCTGAGTGGTCAGCAAGACCAGAAAAGTGTTGCATAAATGCAATTACAATACAAAGGAAACTATTATTATTATTATTATTATTATTATTATTATTATTATTATTATTATTATTATTATTATCATCATTATTATTATTATTATTATTACAGCAGATCTAATGGACTCAACTGGACATTTAAAACCCACAGGTAAAAAAAATGCAGCATTTTCTATGAAAATCTAAATATAATTCCTTTGGTTACATCAAGCAGCTTGTTTTTTTTCACACATTCGATCACACAAGTACCTGAATTTATTATTTTACATCAGTTTTCTAAAAGTAGAACTGATTTCAGTCTGCATGAATTTGAGGCATCTTGTATATTTAAGAAGTTCACTTATGTGACTACACCAGGGGTGTCAAAGATAAGGTCCGGGGGCTAGAATCAGACTGGCACAGACTCCATTTGGCCCGCTGAGCAGCTTTGGAAAACGTGAAGGTGCGCATAAATTTTGGACTTTTAACTGCATTTTCACAACTTTTACTGCTAGTAAAGATCTCCCTGATGGCCATTCAACTTTCTGTTTAAAAGTTACATGACAGTCTGGCCAATGAGCAACCAGAACCGTTTCTATTATTTACGTATTGTTGAAATTGGTCTTCTTTTTCTTATATTAGGAGATCTCAGGAATTAAATGTGCAGTTAAAATTCTTTACAGCGACAGAAAAGGGGGTTTCACTGGTCAGGCCCACGATGTAAAATGAGTATGACGTCTCTATGCAGCTCTAGATTTTGGCCACACTGTGCGCGCGTCGTGGCCTGGTTGAAGCCAGATGTCTATGACTGTGTCAGTTTTACCGTCATTTCAATGATATATCAGTAAAGTAGCTCAGAAGTTAGTTAGTTTTTTCAGCATCTCTTGCTTCATCATTCCTGTGTGAGGTCAGGAGTCTGTCAAAATATTGTCGCTCTGCAGCTATTTACCAAAACACACATAAGACCTGTGACATAAATCAGCTTTGGAAAATGTAAAGAATAGAAAAAAATAGAAAAAAGATTTTTAATCAAAAATAGCGTGACATTCATTGTGCAGATCCTTGTCTCTCCATTTTTTGGACATCATAAAATTAGTTTTAAAGTCTCTTTGCGTTCCTGAGAAATTCAATGGATTAAAAAACCCTCTTAGTTTTCTTGCAGTGTTTCAATCTGAGAAAGAAAACAGGTGTAAATATTGTTAGACAGTTCACACTGTTCTGCATAAGACAACAAATGAACAGACATAAATCCGGCTTCTCATCCACAACTTTGTCTCTGCGTGTTGGGGTGATATTGTTTAAATGGATGCTTCTTCTTCCACCCGAAGCGTCTTGATTTTGATCATCGCAGCATGCTGCCATGTATCAAGCGTCATTTTCTTTTCTTACTAATTTTTGCACAGTGCATCCTACATGAAAAGTCGCACGATCCTCCTCAGTTAACAGAAGAGAGCAACATTTATGTTTATTTCGAGGGTTCTCCTGCAAACGCTGCCTGCTTACCTCTGCTCTTTGATTACATTTAA